ATTTTTTATTTTGTATTACAAAAATAATACCCTATGCTTATTATTGAAAAGATTAGAAAATATGGGCAAGCAAAAAGGAAAAAAAAATCTTAAATTTACCGAGAGATAATCACCGCTAATACTTTAGTGTACGTCCTTCAGATTGTGTGTGTATAAAATATTAATTTTGTCCATTTTTAACAAAATGGATCACTTTATACAAATATTTATGTAACTGATTTTTTACTTAATAGCTTGAATTTGTTTACAACAATTTTTAGTGGTTAGATAGTATTCTTTTATTTAATTAGTCACATATTGTTGCAGATCGTGGTTGTTTTCACTTTCCACCGTTATCAACAGTGATGCTAAATGGCTCTGTAGGTAAAAGTTTACACACATTCATTAATTATTTTTCAGGATGAATTCCTAGAAGTGGGATCATAGTGTCAGAGAGCGTGGGCATTTTTAAGATTTGCCGTGTCGGGACATTGCCCTTGGGAGATCACAGTACTATTTACTCTCATCCCTTCCTCACAAGGACACCATCTTTCTCCTTCAGGCCTTCATGGCTCTTCCCTGGATTCAACCAACACATCTCCCAGCTGTAGGCCCTTCTCCCTCCGAATAATTTTCACTCTTCTGCTGGATTAAACGGTCTGAAGCACAAATTCATCATGTCACTAAAAATTTCAGACCTGTGTCTACAATCAGGATGTGAGCACCATGCCTTCCACTGTACTTGCCCTCACTCAAACAAGCCCGCATGTCTTGAGGTTCTTCATTTCCGACCCTCCGTCCTTGGTTCCTGGCTCACCACCTGCCCTCCCCAACCCCCGACCCCCCAACCACCAGTTTTTGGGGAGCAGAGGTTGCACTTTCATTTGTGTAGTCCTAGTATGGCCTGTGCCTAGCATATACAATAGGCACCAAAGCCCCACTGCAGTTGGTGGCTTCTCTTTCCACTTCCCATCTTGACTTGATCACGTCTTACCTCTCCTGCAGTACTGATATTACCTGTCTACTTGGCCACATCTTCCCTCTGACATCGTGTTCCCAATTTCCCCATCTCTCATCCTTCCTCTCAATAGAACAATAATCTTTATCTCTGAATTCATTGAGTAATTTATCTTCAGTTTTCTTATATTAATTACCACTTTTTTATATCATAGTTTTCAGTCTGTATTCTCTACTGTATCTTAAGTATCTCCGGGCTAAGAGCTATCCCTTGCAAAGTTGAGAAAGGGTGGGGGACAGGAGACCTTAAAGTTATGCTACTATAAAGAAACACTGTCATCATTGTATGTATCCTTCTAGTATCTTCCTATGTATATGCGAGATATAGAATGTTACATTGTCACGAGTTAAGCACACAGAGGCAGTCCACTTTTAACGCTTTCTCACTTGGCTCGGTATTTGATAGCAGTATGTACTATTTTCACTGCTTACCTGGACTTTAAAGGAGTTGTCAGTTTGCTGCTGTCAATGGCTTTCAGAAGGAGAAAAATTGCTCTAGGGGTTTGGAACACAAACAGTGACTTGCTTAACAACCTCTCTGGTAGCATCAGAACCATAAGAGAGCATAGTTAGATACCTGTTCTCCCCTGACCTCTGGGCAGTGTAGGCCTACGAAACTGTGACTCCTGTGTTTTCTTCCATGTTCACTGACCCCTGTTCCACTGTTAGTTGCTGCAGGTGAGCATCTGTGTCAAGTACTTTTCCTTAGATACCAGACAGAGTTCATCAGAGTTGCGTGATTTATTTTAAAGAGCATCTAACATTGTCAAAGAAGTTCAGGGAATGGAGGGTGGAAAAAGGAACTTAGTGAGCTCACCAGCCGGGTCTGAACTTGATTAAGCTTGTATTCGTTGTTGTAATTTATGCTAATACCCGTTAAATCTGTAAAGCAAGACTGAAGTACTGTTTATATGAAAAACATATATGAATGTTTTTAGGTATCATGCTGTAAGTGAATGTAGTACTATATAATTATTCTGATAGCCTTCTAGTCAGATTACCTTGAAAATCCAAAATGATCTTGATGAACAGTAAGACATTATGATTTCATGGTTCATCTATATACCTCCTACATAGATGTATAGTACTTGTATCTAACAGGATTACCAAATTACATACCTTTTAGATATCTGTAACATGCCTAAAATACCAGAGTATTCATTGGCTCGTTATGGTTATGAAACCACGTTGACGTTGCCAGAGGAGGATTTGTTAACGCGCGTTGATAGTCTTCAGGTTTCTCGTACCATTTTGAGAGAGATGGGATGCTCTTTTTATTGTACTTAAGCCTTTCTTTATTCAGATCATTAATTTTTTGAAAAACGTCACTTTTCTAGATAACACACTATGCGATTCACTTTTAACTAACCTAACGTCTGCGCAGGGATAATTTAGCAAATATGATTGTTTTCTGCGTTGACAGACTGCCATCAAGTTAGACTGGCTGTAGGGTTGCTGATGCCTGCTCAGAGGGCATCGTGGGAAGTGAGGAACGGTTCAGAAACACGTTTCTCCTCTGTACTGCCTCAGTAGTCTAGAAAACGTGAACTTGCATCTTTGATTGAAATGCTTCTGGGCAGTTTCATTCACAGCTTTAACTAGCCTTTGTTTAAAAACTCTCAGATCTGTGTTCCCAATCTTGGTCTCTGTATCAGTTTGCTAGAGCTTCTATAACGAACTACTGCAAACTGCATGGCTTAAAAAAAAAAATTATTGTCTTAACAGTTCTGGAGGCTAAGATCAAGGTGTCAGTAAGATTGGTTCCTTCTGAGGGCTACAAAGGAGAATCTGTGCCTTCCCTCTTTTCTAGCTTCTGGTGATTTGCTGGCAGTCTGCCCCTGGTACCTCGGATTTAATCCGGTTGAATTGATCTTGTTCTCTCACAAGTCCCTTCTCTCTAACTTTTTCCTCTTTTTTTTTTTCTTCCTTTTTCTTCTTTATTTTTTGGTGCTGGTATCATCATCCCTCTCAGTTACCCAAGTTAGAAGTCATGGGAATAACTTGGCCTGTTTCCTGGTCTTCAGCTTCTGACATCCATTTGCTTCAAAGTTTTGTCATTCCTGCCTCAACTGTATTTCTCTAGCCTTTGTTCTTCTTTTCAGACCTAGTGCTTTACCTCTGGTTTAGACTCCTGCCGTCTCTAGCTGCCAGGCTGTCTCCCCACGTCTTGTCTTTCCTCTGTTAAATTATCGTCCGTTTCCTCAAACAGAGATCTGCACTGGATAGTTATCAATCCCAAAACCTTCAGTGACTTCTCACTGCCTGCAAAAAAAGTCAAGATTCTGTAACTTGGCCTTTCAGATCTCCCATGAGTGGCTGTCGTTAACAGCTCAAGCCACTCTTAATCTTCATACCTTTGTCCTTCTCTAAGCACAGCACACCCCATTTGTTGTCACCTCTGTACTTTGTTCTTTCCTCTCTGTGGAACATCCTTTCTCTACCCTTCTCTCTTTTCTTCATCCTCTTATATCAGCTAGAATTCTATCTCAAATGGAAATCAGGACACATGGTTTTTAGGTCAAAGTGCCAGAACCCAGTTGTTTCACCTCACGCAAGCCTTTGACTTCTAGTTTTCTCAAAAGTAAAATTTTTTCTTTACATGCCACACCTCCATGAAACATTCACCAGTTCTTCAAGGCAAAATAAGTCACTCCTTCTTTTGTGCCCCTTAGTGCTTTATTCCTTTTACTTTTGACACTCGACTTTTGCATTCTGGTGGGCATATGTGCACATGACTGCCTTGTCTTCCCCCGACAGGATGTAAATTCTTTGATGCCAGCCAGGAATGTTTGACTCAAATATGCTTCCTTTCTCATCCCTGCCTACCCCTGGTCTTGCTTGTACATAGATTCTCAGTAAGACAGACTGTATCGTAGAGGATAAAATGTTCCGGGCAAGCATTCATCTGTAACACGTGCCGTTCTTGAATGTTCCCATGCATTTGCCAGGATGTATTTTGAGCAGTGAATGACATAGAGATAGTGTATTGAACACACCATGAGTTTTTCTTTTCTTTGTGACATTGTTACAAATATCAGATGATATTCTGAAAACAGCTAAGTTAGCTTTGTACACTCTACATAAAAACGTGTTCTCTCATCAGATGTTTAGAAGTAATTAAGTGTTCTGTGAAACATAGGAAAATTACTCTAGTTTTTGTCCTCCTTCTATATCTTCCAGAGACTTGGACTTTCTCAATGTATCATTGAAATAGTTGGACATTTAAAATACAAAATAGTGGCAAAAGACAGTTCTAGGAAAGCTTTTGTTTACTCCTTGAAAGTCAAAGCATCTGTGACCTGTCATGCTCTTCCTGTCGGATAGATTTGAACGTCATGACCTTGCTTAGAAACTTTCAGTCACTCCTTGCTTTCTAGAGAGGAAAGATTAGGCCCTGTTCTTGTCTTTAGGCCCATCTCCGGGCTTGTACTTCTAATCTCCTTTCACAGTGTTCTCTTTTATGCACTCTCCTGTCCAGACAAAATCGCTTTCTAGATTTCTTGCATGTCTGATTTATCTGTATTCCACCCCCACCCCCAGTCCTAGTTTAATCCATACATGGTCAGTAGATAGCAGTAATCTCTCTGAACCATGTTACATTATATAACATGGTTCAGAGAGATTAAAGGTATTAATGCATGACAGAGCAGCTTGATTTTGCTATTATAGCACAATCATATTTTCATCTAAAGTTTTTAAGCTTTAATTCTGGAATTCCACAATATGCCCTAAACAAAAACGATACATGTTGGGTAAAACAGTTACATTTGAAATTATAATGCATCTAATATGTCACCACCATTCAAACCTGTCATGTCTTTTAGATTCTGTACATTGTTATTTAGGTCCACTATATATAAAAGGAAATGCTAAGTGTTTATAAATGTTTTTAGGTTTGAATTTTATTTTTCAACAGTGACATTTTTTTCTTCGTGCATATTTGTGTATGCTTTTATTTTCCACAAGCTACTGACTTTATGCTTTGTGCTTGCTTTATGTTGCAGATTAATATCCTTTCAAGAATTTGTAGCATTTGAATCTGTCCTGTGTGCCCCAGATGCTTTGTTCATGGTGGCCTTTCAGCTGTTTGACAAAACTGGCAAAGGAGAAGTCACTTTTGGTAAGGGGCGTGAATGTGTGTATACCTAAGTAAATGCAAGATTGTGTGAGCATTTTTTTTTTCAAGAATGAAATGTATGGCAATATTTTTAAGAAGTTAGCATATCCCTTTTAACAAAGATATCAGTATTAGGGGGGCTGCAGTTCAACTGTCTCCCTATTTGAAAAAATACTAAGTTTTTGACTTAGTATTTGTGATACCTGCTTTAATTTTAAGGTGAGGGAGCATCGATGTGGCACAACTTTTCACAGCCGTAGAATTTGAGAATGAGACAGGACTTCTCTTCATTCCCTTTATGATCAGTAGTGCTTTCCACTGATAGAATGAGGAAGGTAATAAACTGACCGAGACCCGAAGGTGCTTATGTACCCAGTACTTTGTGTCCTGACCTTGTCCTTGTGAAGTAGCTTGAGGCCGGAGGCGCTGCACAAGATGGGAATTCAGCACGCCACATGAAGAACCTTATTCTTCTCAGTGACACATTCCCCCATAGCTGGTTGGCCGTGCCCGCTATGCTACTGCCATCTTTATTTTGAAAGGCAGAACCGTCTTCACAGAGATTAGCTGCCGAGCTTTAGAAAACACTGAAGTCTTTGAAGTATTAGGAGAAAGGGAAGAGCAGAAAGTGGTGGAGCGGTGGTAAGTTCTGCTTTTTTTCTTGGACTGTGTAGTGTCCAACATATGTTGTCTGTGCATACGAACCTCCTATAGACAGCAGTGCCCATGAAAAGAATTTTGGAGCCCTTTTGGGCTAATGAATTGTGCGTTCAGTATAAGTGGCTAATATGCCCCTTTCAGATGTACTTATTCATAGTTTCCAATTCATTCAGACCTCTTTGGCCTTTCTTACCTGATGGATTGTAAGAAATGTACAGATAGGGGGAAAATCCAGGCGATGTAATAGAGCATCATCTAATCTAGAATTGTTCTGGGATGGTTGTGGAATTGGAGAGATTTAGCTACTTCTAGTTCTGCTACTTTTGTCTCTGAGCCAAGTTAATTCTCTTCCCTTCATTTTCCTTATCAAAAGTAAACATAATAACTACATAAAGTACAGGTAAGAGAGCACAATAGATTTATTCTAGCAGCCTGCCCCCTCTCCCACCCATTCTTCCATGTTCATTTGACATGACAGTCTTTTAAAGCTCGATCAGCTAGGGCAGAGGGAAAACACATGTATTTGCCTACTTTTGTTTCATATTAGCTCCTTGTAAATCTTAACCCAAGAGCGACCATTTTTGTATTTTAGAAGGTCGTCTACCTGAGCATGCATCTTTGGTACGTGTAAGGATGGGGTGGTAAGAGAGGAAGGGCTCTTTTTTAAACTCTCAAATTAGCTTAGTCATTTGGGGTCATGGGGTGAGCACTATTTTTGCACTGTATGGAGGTTCATCTGGGGTCTTCCCATGGGCCTCAGGGAAAGCTGGCATGTGGCTGCAGATCCCCCATGTCTCTCAGCCTTGCATTTCGTCCAGAGGAGAGCAGTTACACTCTTCATCTGTTTACATATTGGGTTTCTACATAAGAGCTTGTTTGAAGCAGGGCTTCTCTGACTAAGTTCAGTAAACAGCAGTGTTTGTCAACAAGCAGGCAGCGTTCATGCTCCCACTAACGCTGATCCTGATAACACACCAAACGAAAGTCAGATGGAGTGAGGGGCAGATAAACAAGTGTCACATTTCAGTGAAATTTTGCCCTGTTTTTTCTGAGGCCTTGTTTATGTTTACCATATTCTCATGTCTAGATTACTCCTTGTGTTTGCTACAATGAAAAGATCTTGATTAGGTCAGTTTTGTCCCTTTGATCAGTTCATTATGTTCTCATGTTTCCTCTGAGGCCAAAGATTCCTGTTCTCACCGTGTTTTCTTATTTTGATACTTGATGTTTATAAGTTCATTTTGAGATATCAACAGGTGTATAACAGGATATCAGTATAAGTAGAAAATTCTAGTTAATTATTTACAATTCTGTACGTGTAGAAAAATATATTTTGTTCTAAATGTTTTTACCTGTATTTTCAGCCTGATAGTGATTTTAAACATGATAGTGATTTTTTACTTTTAATTTTTAAGCATATTTTATCGAAGTATAGCATAATTGCAGAAGAATGCACAAATTGTAAGTGTACATCTTGATAAATTTTTACACAATGTATATACTTGTTTTATCCCCAACCAGATCAGAACGACAATGGTACCAGCACCTCACTGGTCTCTTCCCAGTTACTGCCCCCCACCCTCAGTCCCAGTGGTAACAACTCATATCTATCACCATCAATTGATTTCGCTTGTTTTAAAACTTAATAACAATGGAACGATACAGAATGTACTCTTTCATTCTGATTTCTTTTGCTCAAATTTTATTCGTGAAATTCATCTAATTTTTGTTGTATTTTTACTTTGTTCTTTTTCTTTGCTGTATACAACTGTGTGACTGACCTTTTTCCTAATTTATTTTCTCATTCTAAATGTTGATAGACATTTCCAGTTTTGGCTACTGGAAATAATGTGCTTTTTTATGTATTTTTGGGTTGTATGCGTGTGTAGGTATTTCTAGGAGTAGAATTGCTGGGTCATAGACAATGTAACCGAGTGAGGCAGGGGAGCCTAGTGGGAGAGGAGCTCAGAGAAATAACAGATCTTATTAAGTAGGGCCCCTTAGGTCAAGGTTAGGACTTAGAGTTTGATGGTAAGTGAATCGGGAAACCACTGCAGGATTTTTTTTTAGCAGAGGAGTGACATGATCTGGTTTATATTTTAGCAGGATCACTCTGGCTGCTGTGTTGAGAACAGAAAGTAGAAGGGCCAGAGTAGAAAGAGAGATCAGTTAGGCCATTGCAGTAATCCGGGTGAGGAATTACAGTGGCTTAGACCAGAGTGAGGTAAGGAGTATTTTGAAGAGAAAACCAACAGAACCAGCAGGTTTCTCATGATTTGGCTATGGGCTGTGAAAGGGAGAGAGGAGGGAAGAATGATTCCAAAGTCTTTGAGCAGATCATCTGGAAGGGTGGGGTTATCAACCAGGATGGGGAGGACTGCACATGTGGCGGGGTGGGGAGGGGGCTGTGTAGAACAGGGGCTCACTTTGGATGTGTTAGTTTGATGCCTATTGAATAAGTGAGGATGTCAGATAGGCACTTAGATATATCAGTATTGAATCTGGGAGATAGTTATCAGCAAATAGATGATGTTTGAACTAGATGAGATAAAAGAGTAAGTAAAGATAGGGGTATCTTTGAATGCTTACTATGTTGTAAGGCTAAAGGTACAGCAGTGACAAGAGTAAAAAATATTGTGGGTACATATGTTTTAGACAATAAACAAATAAACATTATATAGTTTGATGTCAGGATACCCTGTTTATAAAGTAAAGCAGGCTAAGCGGGTAGGAGAGATGGAGCCTCTCTGAGCTGGAGTCTCTGAACACCCAGGTGAAGTGCTATGGGCTGTGTTTGCAGAAGGAGTTGGAGCTGTGGGAGTCTGGAGGTTATGGTTACTTGGGAGATGCTACAATAGTCTAGGCCAGAAGAAGGGAGGCCTGGACTAGACTCATCTCTCTGGACTCCACCAGAGCCATTCTAAAAATGTATCATGTTTAACTTGGCTCCTGATTGGCTGTGGGATAAAAGGAGGGTCAAAGGAAAGGAAGAAAGACCCAGTAGTAGCTACTGAACTTTTTTTTACACATCTTTTGAAAGAAGGAAAGTAACCCTCATTTTTATCTTTAAGTTTATTGGTCTTTTATTATGTAACTCTTTGCCCCTCCCCCGCCCCGGGATAAGCACTATCTGTAATTTATTATTTCTCACAACCTAAGAGATCTATAATTCTCATTTTTCTGATGAGGAAGTGGCCTTGGGGAGCTTAAGTAACTTGTAACTCCACAGTCATGGAGTTGCCTTGGTAGTCATAGTGGAGTCTGGGGAGCAGCCTGATGACGGCCAGGAGCTATTCACTGCCTCCGTCTGGTGGTGGTTATCCTCTGTGAGTTGGGCCCTTCCTTCATAATCCAGATAGGTGCCAAAAATCCACAGTAGTTTCAATCTATATCAGACATTAAGATGATTTAATCATTTTTCATGAAAAAGTAAAGAATAAACAAAATAATTAGCTAAAATTTTGTTTATATGACCATAGTGGAAAGTAATTATAAGGCAGAATGTACCTGGATTAGAGCTCTCAGTATACATAGAAAGTTGCCTTGGTTACACAGACATTCAGATAATTTGTTGAAATGCACTTGACATGCACATTACCCAGGAAGCTTTATCTTTTCACCGGTGCCAAATCACAGAGTGGCAGGTTGTGGGGGAGGTGGTCTTCTTACAGAATGAGGATAGTAAAGGAGCCCCTTGATTGAAATATGCATCCTAAGAGACATGGGTGCTGGGGAAGTGGGCGATGGAGCACTCACGACAGGTCCCGAGCAGGAGATTTTATTTGGTAGGAGTGGCAGTTCAGTGTCATGAAGAGTTCTTTAGAAGTCAGGGACAGGATCCAAGTGATGTTTGGAAAAAATGGTTTTGTTGCGTTAACTGGAGTGGGGCAAAGCCGGAGGCAGAGGCGACTGTGATCATTGCGGAAGCTTCTGAGGACCACTGTGGAGCAGCATGTGATCACTCCCATATCGTGAGTGGAGGAACTGAAAGTAAGGGTTTTAAATCACTGATCTGTCCTCTGAGCAGGTTAGTGCAGACAGGTTGTGAATGGTAGTTTCCCAAATACTTTCATTATTTCATCTTTCTTATTTGATGATGTTAGGAGAGCAAAAGCATTTTCATTATGACCTTAAGAAAGTAAGTGTGTAAGTGTGTGTGTGTATGTGTGTTTAATTAAACTATTACTCTGATATGTTTAGTGCACCCACCAGATGGATTTTTTCATGATGCTAATTTAACATTAACTATTCCTACTTGCCAATATTTCTTCAGTTGTATCTGCAGTGGATGATCGTAATAACCTAGCTCAATAGTAGTGGAGGACCTGAATGTTACTTTTGTA